TGTAGTAACCACAGTTTCCTCTATGGTTGTTTCCACAGTTGTAGGAGGCGAAGTTGTGACTGCAGTCGTGAGCGGTGTGGTAGTTGTCTCTATCCAGGGTGTTGTAGTAACCACAGTTTCCTTTATGGTTGTTTCCATAGTTGTAGGATGTGAAGTTACGACTGTAGTCGTGCGGGGTGTGGTTGTTGTCTCTATCGCTGGTGTTGTAGTAACCACAGTTTCCTCTATGGTTGTTTCCACAGTTGTGGGTGGCGACAGTGTGCGTATTGTCGTGACGGCTGTGGTTGTTGTTTCAGGCGTGGCTATTGTAGAAGCAGTAGTTTCCACCATAGTTGGTTCTACAGTTGTAGGAGGTGACATTGCTGCTGTCGTCGTGATGGGAGTGGTAGCTGTCTCAATCCAGAGTGTTGTAGTAACGACATCTTCCTTTATTGTTGTTTCCACAGTTGTGGGAGACGACGTTGTGGCTGTAGTCGCGACCGAAGGGCTAGTTGTTTCAAGCGTGGCTATTGTTGAAATAGTAGTTTCTTCCACAGTTGATTCCACAGTTGTAGGAGGCGATGTTGTGACTGCAGGCGTGAGGGGTGTGGTAGTAGTCTCTATCCAGGGTGTTGTACTAACCACAGTTTCCTCTATGGTTGTTTCCTCAGTTGTAGGAGGCGAAGTTGTGACTGTAGTCGTGTGGGCTTTGGTTGTTGTCTCTATCCCGGGTTTTGTAGTAACCACAGTTTCCTCTATGGTTGTTTCCACAGTTGTGGGTGGCGACGGTGTGGCTATTGTCGTGACCGCAGTGGTAGTTGTTTCAGGCGTGGCCATTGTAGAAACAGTAGTTTCCTCCACAGTTGATTCCACAGGTGCAGGAGGCGATGTTGTGACTGCAGTCGTGAGGGGTGCGGTAGTTTCTCTCCAGGATGTTGTAGTAACCACAGTTTCCTCTATGGTTGTTTCCACAGTTGTGGGTGGCGACGGTGTGGCTATTGTCGTGACCGCAGTGGTAGTTGTTTCAGGCGTGGCCATTGTAGAAACAGTAGTTTCCTCCACAGTTGATTCCACAGGTGCAGGAGGCGATGTTGTGACTGCAGTCGTGAGGGGTGTCGTAGTTGTCCCTATCCAGAGTGTTGTAGTAACCACAGTTTTCACTATTGATGTTTCCACAGTTACAGGAGGCGACGGTGTGGCTATGGCCGTGACGGCAATGGTAGTGGTTTCAGGCGTGGCTATTGTAGAAACAGTAGTTTCCATCACAGTTGATTCCACAGTTGTAGCAGGCGATGTTGTGACTGCAGTCGTGAGGGGTGTGGTAGTTGTCCCTATCCAGGGTGATGTAGTAACCACAGTTTCCTCTATGGTTGTTTCCACAGTAGTAGGCGGCGACGGTGTGGCTGTTGTCTTGACAGATGTGCTAGTTGTTTCAGGCGTGGCTATTGCGGAAATAGTAGTTTCCTCCGCAGTTGTAGGTGTTGACCGTGTGGCTGTAGTCGTGGCGGGAGTAGTAGCTGTCTCAATCCAGGGTGTTGTAGTAACGACAGTTTCCTCTATTGTTGTTTTCAGAGTTGTAGAAGGCGGCGGTATGGCTGTAGTCCTGACGGCAGTAGTAGTTGTTTCAGGCGTCGCTATTGTAGAGACAGTAATTTCCTCCACAGTTGATTCCACAGTTGTAGGAGTCGATGTTGTTACTGCAGTTGTGAGGTGTGTGGTAGTTGTCTCTATCAGGGGTGTTGTAGTAACCACGGTTTCCTCTATGGTTGTTTCCACAGTAGTAGACGGCGACGGCGTGGATGTTGTCGTGACAGATGTGCTAGTTGTTTCTGGCTTGGCTCTTGTTGAAATAGTAGTTTCCTCCGCAGTTGTAGGTGGTGACGGTGTGGCTGTAGTCGTGGCGGGAGTGGTAGCTGTCTCAATCCAGGTTGTTGTAGTAACGATAGTTTCCTCTAGTGTCGTTTTTAGAGTTGTAGGAGGCTTCGGTGTATCTATAGTCGTGAAAGCAGTCGTAGTTGTTTTACCTGTGGCTATTATAGAAACAGTAGTTCCTCCCACTCTTGTTTCCACAGTTGTAGATGGCGTTGGTGCTGTTATAGTCGTAGCGTTAGTTGTAATCTTTACAATCCTGTGTGTTGTAGTGGCTGGAGTTTTCTCCTTTGTTGTTTCCTCAGTTCTTGTGGAGGTTGTAGTAATGGGTGTGATATTTGTCGTTTCAGGAACCGTTTGTGTGGTCCTTGCAGTCTCTCTCTCGGTTGTTTTAGCAGGTGTTGGTGGCGACTGTGTGGTTGTAATCGTAATGGGAGTTGTACTTGTTGTAGTGCTGGTTGTTGTAGTAGCAGGTGTTCTTTCGGTAATTGTTTCGGCAGCTTTCAGACTCGACAATGTTGTTGTAACCGCAGCTGGAGTTGTAGTTGTTGCAATTCTGGATGTCGTAGTAGCAGGTATTTCCTGCGTAATTGTTTCTACAGTTGTTGGAGGGAACGTCGTGGTGGTGATGGTAGTGGGGGCAATAGTTGTCGTTTCAGGTTCCGGTTGTATAACCATTGTAATCTCTGTCTCGGTGGTTTCCGCAGTTGTTGAGGGCGACAGTGTGGGTGTAGTTGTTTCAATCCTGGGTTTTGTAATAACTGCAGTTACTTCAATAGTTGTTTCCACAGTCGGTGAAGGGGCCATTGTAGTAATGGCTGTAATTGAGGAGATAATTGTTGCCTTAGGGGCCTGCGATGCAGTCGCAGTAGTTTCTGACTCTGTGGTTTCCACACTTGTTGGTAGCGACTGTGTGGTTGTAATTGTATCGATCATAGTAGTTATTTCGGGCCTGGTTGCTGTAGTAGTATCAGCAGATTCTTCCACAATCGTTTCCACAGATGTTAGTGGCAACATTGTAGACATGGTGGTAACAGGAAAGCTAGATGTTGTTTCAGGTACTGGTTTTGTACTAATAGAAGTGTCTTTTACAGTGGCTTCCACAGTTGTGTAATCCGACATTGTAAACTTCGTGATGATGGGAAATATAGATGTTGATACCGTCGTAGTAATAGTTGTTTCTTCCGCAGTGGTTTTAGTCGTTGTTGTTGGCAACGTTATGGCAGTGGTATATAGGGGAATGGTAGTTGTTATGTCGCGTAAGAGTGTCGTTGTAACAATTTGTTCTTTTGTAGTGGTTTCCACTGACGTTGGTAACGACATTTTAACAGTTACGTGAGTGATAGTTGTTGTTTCAAGTGTCGATGTCATCGCAATTATAGTTTCTTCTGTAGCCTTTTTCGCAATTGTTGGTTGGAAGGTTGTGGTTGTCGTTGGTAATGGTATTGTAATATCAGTAATTTCATGCATAGTAGTTTCCACGGTTGCCGATGGCGGCATTGTCGTTGGAGTAATGATAGACTTGGTAGGAGTTGTTTCAAACACTGGCGACGGCATCGTAGTCATGTTGGTAATGGGGATGTTTCCTATCGTATATGTCGTTGTACGTGTAGTTATTTGTGATTCGGACAGGCTGATTGTTTCTTTCGGCGTTATTGCCATTGTTCCAATATAATCATCATATCCGTGCCACGTAGAAGTCCCTTTAGTACTTTCTTTCTCATACGCACCATGCGTATCTATAATAGACACAGTTGTAGTTCCTATTTGATCTAACCAGCTCAAAGTTGTCTGTAACCTATCTATTTCGCTTTGGTGTTCAGTGTTATAAGTTAACTGAGATTCAATATCCGATTTGGTCGTATGTAGCAGCTGCATAATATCCGAATACGCATGGATTTCTTTTTCATAAATATCCGTTGTTTTCTCACCTATGTCTTTTCTATTCCTAACATTCCTTTTTCTCCTTTTCTTAACGAAAGCTGTAGTTTTCTTAGGGATCGAATGTAATCTCAATATTTGATATAGATTTAAATTTTGACTTGTGGAGGGTGAGCCGGATGTCGTTTCATTGATAATTCGTTGCGCCTGCGATGCTTCTACCAATCTCGGCAATAAATGCGTTTTATTCCATTGATCTTCTAACTTAAAATATTCGTCGATCGAAGAACTCTGATTCAGTTTTTTCCGCTTGCCACGAAAGAACGAGTTTAACCATCTTCTTGCCCTTTTTGTTCTTTCACGATCGTCTCTTAAATTCGATTCATGATTGACCGGAATTGATTTCAGATTCCTGACAAGCCGATGGTGTGGCTTTCTATAAGTACTTATAGGTGAAAAATCGGCGCAAAATCGGGGATGAATATAATCTGTGAAAGGATAAGGATAACTGACTTCGTGATCCTTCATAGGAACAGACTTCGATTTGTACCGTGTCTCTTCGATATTTACTAAATCTAAATCGTTCTTAGATGATATCCGAATGAAATTTTTTTCTACTGTACTGCTATTGTTCCGTAAATTAATATTTCTCCGCCATTGTTCGAGGATCGCTGATAAATCGGTACACTCAGCATGATACGAGGTCACTCGTTCGTTATTTACTATAATATCTTCTTGCAATATTTTTACTGTTTCCGTAGCATAAAAATTAACGTTCTATAATCAACATTCTATAATTAATATTCTTAGTGACAGTAGCGATTCGATCGTGACAGTAATCTTTAACAGCGGTTGCCAATTGGTTATGATCGTGACGTATTAAGTATTCTCGAAATTACCAAATAAAAAATTATAACGTTTTATTTTGTTAAATATTAATGGCAACGCTTTTGAATTGTTCGACGAAACTTTTTGCATGTACTTACAGTATTATCTTCTATTATAATAGCTCTATTGTTACTGTTACTGTAAACCGGATGGTTATCAATATTTCCAGTGATGTCGACAGTTGCACGTACTTTCTCTGCTGCTATTGTCATGTACATCGCAATCAACTTACAAATCACAATGAGAAATATATTTTGCATAGCGTCATATCACGCACGTTCATTGATATTCTCGCACTTTTCTAACGCATGCTTATCAATCCTGTCGCGTATCATCGTGTCAAACGAACTGTCACGCGAACGTAGTATTGTAAGTAATTTCGTCATGGTACAGTTCGATCGCGTGTGCCATCGATTATTTTCGATTCCTGAATAAATTAGTTTCGTTGCATGTATCGATACTCTTTTCAAAAAAATAATACACAGTCCATGATACGATATGTAGTAGCGATTTTCAACGAACGATAAAAAATTGAATGGTATGCGAGATAATAGGGAATACTTTTCTATTGCTGTTTAAATTATTCTCATTCGAGTAATGAGCAATTAAGGTTAATAACAGAGAGCTTATGTAATAAAAAACAAAAGTGACATTTACCTTTAATCGTGTTTCGATGTCAATACGAATGTCATCGGTCAATGACAATTATTTGTGCTACTTTTCATCGTTCAATATGTTTGAACTTTTTTAAATATTTAACCGCACCATATATTAGTATATGTACAGATGTATCAATTAATCCTTGCTTCTATTTAATGCAAGCTATGCTATGATATTGGAGTCCATTTTTTCGTGCACGAATCTAACGCTAACATGCGGTTCGTCAATTTACATCTTGATAAGACACTCTTACGCTCAGTATTCGAAATTATTAACACACGTTGCGTGTGCCTGTGCCAGTATCGCTATGATTGGTTCTCGATCATTGATCGTTCTTGTGTACAAACTTTTCTTTAAGGATTATAGTAAGTAGCTTAACAATTACGTGTATTATTTTACAGTCAATTAATCGAAAATCAATAAATTTGTATCTTTCAGCGTTTGATCCGTTTATGATGCAGCTGGAGGAAGAAAGGAACAAAGAACGATTCAACGTTATAGACGAGATCTTTCGAACCTTGAGCATGGCCGGCTTAATTTATTCTTTGTACTCCTGTCATGGATATTACGCGCTCGGCGCCTGTGTTGTAACCAGCTTATCAATTTTAGACTTGTTCAAACTGTACAGAATAAAGAAGAAACAGACAGAGGTAGTTTCGTAAAATATTACACGAAATTTCTTCGGCAATTTAAAGGTTCGCGTTAACTCGTCGTTTGAAAGATCCCGTGGATCCCGTCGATCCACGATGGATTATTTGAATGTGTTAATTTTTTATTTCGACAAATTTCGTTTAACTTAAAGACACTTTTTTAAAATAAAAGATTGCAGGTTATATATAAAGTATATTTCAAGATTGAACCGTGTGTTGGAATTTTAATTCCAGGAAATGGAAATGTCGCGTTTCTACGATAATTCAAGTGAAACAAAAACAACCTACGAATCAAGGCTTAACATATTCAATTGGGTAATTCTTGGTGGGAGTTTCGCGTAAGTGCAGCAGTTTTCTTTAATTGCAAATTATATTATTACACTGTTCAGTGTATATAAATAGACGATTAATTCATAGTTCTCGACATGATATTCAGGTATACGGTAGGTAATAATTACGCTATAGTAGCAAATTATCCTCTGCTCCTGGCGAATTGGGCGCTATCTCCGGAAGGGTTTTATCAAGGATGGACCATGCGACGTACCATTAACGATTACTTGATGGCAACTTACGTCATGTGCATGACGGAAGCTTTACGACAAGCTGGCACGTCATAAAAATGTTTCTCTCTCTCTCCCTCTCTGTTCCTATCTGCTTAATTTACATATACATTTATTGCAACGTATACATTTCTTGTAATTATTTAAAATGTTGCTACGTTGTATATGAAATTAATAATTCCTCTCTCTTTCTGCTTAATAATTTTTCAAAGTTACGTAGAGACAATACGAAGCTAACCCGCGAGATTTATCCGCGAGACTGCCGTCTTGCGTCATGAATAAAGTACGCCAGGCGAGCAAGCGAGGGGAAGTTTTCGACAAAGTTGTTCAGTATGCGTCCAAACCAAGTGAGATAGAATCTGTGAGCATCTTTAATCTTGCCAAAAAAACCGACAAATCGGGCTCGCCCCTAGGCGACACCAAACTCGTCCCAAATTTGTCTCGTACTATGCGTATATGCCTTTGAAATTGCGTATTTTTTTTTTTAAACACACAATAGTATTTTTTCAATGAAATTCAAAATAGACAATTTTTATTCATATTTTCAACATAATCGTTAATCATTGTAAAGTATTCTCTACGAACTTTGTGTATGTTTTAAATTGTTATCTGACTTGAATACAAAATTCTAACCGACTAATCGTTTCTCGTGTTTTATAAAAAATCACTGTTAAACCGTTGGAGAATAACTTTAGAAATGTATAAACGTTAACAAACTGTATAAGGTAAATCTATTTTATTATAAGAGATAAAATTTGTCATGTGATCAATAATTTTGAATACTTTTATGATTTCATTTATCCCATAATCCATCTTCTACTTTTAAATCACCAACCAAAGATACATGTATATGTAGCATGTAATTTATTCAAGTACAGGAAAGAATGTAGAATTATGCTATGGAAGAACGATTGGATGAAATGAATTCGAAGTTGAGTGCTGATTGTTCGAATTTTATTTCGTTTATGTTTATACCAACACGATTTTTCTACAGGCTTAACGTTACACGTACGCACGCGATATGTACAAAAAGAATTGTATATCTATTAAATACAATAAGTATATTTATATAAACGGCGGTATATCACGTTTACAAGAACGAAAGAAGTGTAAGCGTTGTCGTCGTTGTGATTACTGTCACACTCGTTTGATACGACATCAGCTAACAAGGCTATTACGTTCAATTAACACCTAAACAGAGAATTATTCTCTAAAACCGTTTAATCATCGTACGGCAGTAGCTGTACTAACAAATATCGTTATTCGCCGGTCAGTTCGTTTATCTTAAATATCTAAACGCGAATAAAAAAAGAGAAATAAAATAAAAAGAATAAAAATGAAGACAAAAAACGTTTTCTTCCTCAGGACTGTCTTTAACTCGTTCAAGTTTAACAAATATTTATATCTAATTCTATTAAAGTTTCTAACTTATTATATTTAAATTTCTAGTTTCTATTCTTATGTAATCTTTTTTTTCTTTTGTTCTTCGTTGTTCTTTATCGTTCAGAGAAGAAGGGAACTTTGTTCACTTTTTTCTTCGAATAAATAAATAAAGAGTTTAAAGACGGCCCTGTTCCATTTCACTTCATCATAAATTAGTCTACTCGAAGGCAGTCTTTTCGTACTTTTCTATTCGCTCTTACGTCATATAGAGTCAGATAATTAACAGACAATTGCTAGACGAAGCGCTTAAATGCGTGATGATATTATAATTTAAATGGGAATCGATTTTATTGCTTGTAATGTTTAGCAAAGGAGGCGTAGCCATCTCTCGTTTCTCGGGAAACGTATGTGATGGTTATCGTCGTTGATCATCTAACAAATATTTTTATATAAGGATATAAAGTAAAAAAATTCGTCAGTTTTAATATTTTCCAACAATTACGTACGGCCGTGAAGAATTTGTTCGAATTACGTTCATTCGTTTCAATTAAATATTGGTATTCGCATCTCTCCACGTGCTCTGACCTAGATTATGAAGTCTGAGGCTACTTCCGGTATTTTCGTCAGGTTCGTAGGCTGAATTCGTGTGACCAGCGTGTCCTTCGAACACGTCTTTTACAGAAATCTGACTGCTTCTCGAGGGACGACCTTGTATCCCTAAAGGATTGCCCGCCACACCGTAAATGTTATTGGCTCCCAACGTTTGCATCTGCGACTTCCTTCTCATCGCCATTATGCTGTTCCTGCGCCCTTCAAATGCCTTAAAAGCCTTCGCAGATCTTCTAGTCGACATGTTCCTCGGCAGACCTAAATTGAAACATTAATCAACGAATATTCTCATCCTAAAATCGAGACATTACCAGCACAATTTCCTTAATATATTACATGGCATATTTTAATGTTGCTGAAGAGACGGAAACATGTGGAAATATTAAGATATATATATAACATTGGATATACAAATATTAAAATATTTGTATATATAAAATTTTTAAAAGTACAAATATTTTAATATTTGTATATATAAAAGTATGTAAATAAAAGTATACGCATAATCGAAAAATATTCATCCACCTATTATAAACTGAGACATTGTTCCATTTAAGACCAGAGTTGGATACGTTTTACTCGAAATAAGAAACAAAAAAAAAAAAATAAGAAAACTAAAATAAATAATTATATTACAATTTCATTTTTCTTCATTTCATTTTCTAATTTAAATTTGGCCTTGGACTCATAAAACGAAGTTTCAGATCACAAACGAGTATTAAGCACTTAGTTTACTATTTCATTTCTTGCATCTTTGTATCTATAAGAAGGTCGTAAAGTATTTCGCGATTTAAATTTCCAATCCATCAACTTCTTATGATAAATGCAAAAATTTCGCACAAACATCTTACACACCATTGCCTTCTGACATACTGAAGAATCGCTGTCTAAAAGCGACATCGAGCGTATTGATTGCCTGCGTTTTTCTTCGGCTTTTTTCAAGATTTCTTATGGTTTTCCTTCTGCCCGGGCCGCTGCCGCTGCCTTCCTCGTAATCACCCTCCATGCCATCTAATCTTTGTAAATCCCTGACTATTTCTACCGCGTGTTTTGATAATAACGCTTCTTCCGATAGATCCTTGGTCTGATGAATTAAACAGAAAAGATTTAAAAACGATTATACTACGATAACAAACACAGATTGTATTAAAGGTTGTATTAAAGACTATAATTATTCTATAACTATAACAAATCGTTATTTAACTGTAACATTATGAAAATGAGAATAAAAAGAAAAGATAAAATGGAAAATTGTATAGGAGCTATTACTAATTACTAATAGAAAAGAATGACGTGAATAATGTGAACAATGAAAATCTTTGATACTAACTAATTGTAGTAAAATTTTATCACCAACAATTGTAGATAACACTCACCTTCTTGCAACAGTACCAATCTAAGCTGGTGCTGGCTAGAATATGAGCGAACGTGCCAAATCGATGGAACAGCATCGCGGTGAATTGAATAACTAATATCAATGCGAAGAAGAACACGAACACCAAACCGATAGGCTCGAGTTGTAGATACTCCTTCGTAATGTGTACCTACGAAATACGTTCATTGTTAGAAAAGACATTAATAAATTAGTCGTAATACAAGCCAAAATATAAATAAAATCGCAAACAGAGAACACATAAAACGATTCACAATTGTTACAATTTTCATTAACGTGTATTTCGTTGTTACCTCATTACGAATATATGTATAGCGAACTAAAAATCATAGTGATGTATGTGAAGATTTTGGAAATTTGGATTTAATCACATATTCCTGATTTTTAAGGATATCATCCATTTAGGTTCTTAATAATTAAGTTACATTTAAATTGAGGATTTTTATGCATCTACGGGTAATTTAAATAAATAATAATGTACAGAATAGATATAATATCCAAGAATACACGAAGTATCCAAATAAGGCTATTTATAATATCATAAGTGTGTTTATAATATTGAAAGGACGAAAGAAATTTCTATTTAATTTCTATTTTTTTACCGACGTTAATTTAAACGTGCACGAACATTCACAATCTGATTATAATTTTATTCTTTACTGCGATAAGTTTTCATGACTCGACGAAGCATAATGAGTCTTTTCTAACAATAAGCACAGAACACTATTTTAATGCAAAATAGCGGAATTAACGTATAATTCTATGATTCTCAGGCCTTCATATACTTTTCAGTCACTTATACGGTAAAATACAAAATGTAATTACGACTGGCAATTCGTAATGAAATAACAATTATTAATTTCCTGAACGTACATAGCGATAGCTGTTAGGAAGCAAGTGTTAATGAAAACTCTGTCACGCTTTCCAATTTTTTAATCTTAATTTCAACGAATATTTCTATTAAATAGCGTTGAAAAATATTTATTGGAAAATTTGTGAAGGTACTAATTGGAAAATTTCTACCGTTCCATTTTTCAATCATTTTTATGTCAGCTATTCGTTCGTACGATCAGGATCACCGCGGGAAATACAGTTTAAAAATCACTTTTCGAGACACATATGTATACACATATAAGCCACCGTTTAGTTACATTGACGGTAACTCGTTAGTGGTGCTCCTCTGCTGCCATACCTAGCAGTGCGTTATCAAAATTAGACACATAAAAAACGTGAAAATCTGCTTAACAATTTCTCCCTCGTTCGTATTCAACCAGGTGAGCGGAAAAAAATGAGACATGTTCAAAGGTGCTTTTTCGACTCTTTCGTGACCCACAAATCGTGCACGTGCTACTGTCCATTGAAAGACAGGAAAAAAAACTTCTAACTCGAGCCTTGGGAAAGTAGACAATCACGAGAGAGCCAAAAGGTGTACAGAAGCTAAGAGAACATTGAAAAAATAATTAGGAAAATTATAGGAATTTTATTTAACTGAATAAAAGATAATATTCGAAGGTTACTTAAATTCAAAAATATTGTTTCTATTCGACACGTTACTTATTAGAATTCTTTTCAATTTAATTTTCTAATCTATTAATATTCTATCCAGTAATCTATTAATATCCAAAATAAAAGTAACGTGTGATTTTACATTTGTTCTCTGGACTTCGATAACGTTAATCAAGAAGTATATCGATGTTAGTCAAGGTGGAAACTTGATGGTGCGAGTGATCTGAGTGATCACGCTCGATGGCCACCATATCGTTTTATTTTTTACGGATACTAAAAGAAAGTAGATGTACACATAACGAGGAAGGATAATGGGATTTGAAATAACAAGGCATCGATGTTATTTGTGACTTAGCTAACTAGTTTCGAGTCAGTTGATTGATAGTGCCCCCAGCTTTTCCATACGCTTCGGGAGTACCTGTGCAAACATGTTAATGGTAATTCGCCACGTGCTCATGATCCACGTTATTGACAAAACACAGACATGTCCCAGCAAGTGCAACATTATCACCGGGTATACCATTTCCAGCGTGCTCCGATGCTCACTATTGAACTGCGATCCCTTTCTCTGTATACTAGTTGTGTCGTTCTTTTTCATGATTTTTAGCAATTTCTTTATTCCTCTTCGAGAAAAAAATGAAAATTCATTCGAAGTTTGTTTCTATGTTTCTTGAACGCAGAATTTATTCAGGCAATTCCACCGCTTGAATTTCGATTAGACTGAGTTAAATTCAGATCAAGGAAAATTGTAATTTTTAAAAAGAAACCAAATATAAGAATTTTTAAACCGGAATTGAATTTAATTATAGATACTGAATGCAAATATTTTGTTTTATTCAAATTTTTCATTAAATAAGTGTTTAATTTTAGGGCAATGAAAAATATGAAATCGATCACATGTGAATAATAAAACCAGAAATTGCTAAATATCTAAATTGACAAAAGAAGCAGTTCACGAAGTAAATACTCTATGCCTGAAATCTAAACTAGAAAAGGCAAAGGAGAAAATATTAAAAGTATCGCAACCGCAAGCTCGATTCTATTAGAACTAAATAGAAGCTCTAAACTTTCATTCTAAACGTATCTAAAATTACATTAAAAAAAAAGATATCTCTGAAATGAAAATGAAACAATCATTTGAAAAAACGAAGGATCCATGCTCGAATTTCAATCTGGCGATTCAATCGACCCTTACTCTTCTTCCTCTACGTGACTCCGTCCTCGCGCAAAATTGTTCGATTCTGACTCATTGTCGCTATCAAATCGACAAATAACGACGAATGTAGATTGAAGATTTTGAACATGTATCAAAGTCACACGTGTAATTGATATATTCGTGTTTTAATTCGCATAATTTTTAATATACGCGTACGTGTATACTAAAACCTACACAGATTAAAACAGGAAAATATTAATTGTATGGGTACGTGCGTATTAAAATCTACGTGGATTGGAAATAATTTAATTGTAATAATTTAAAATAGTGGCCCCTAATTTAAACGTCACTGTCAGAAAAGTGAAGACGTAGGAATAAAACGAGAAGAAAGAAAATTGAGAGAAAACAGAAAAGATATAGATACGAGCAACGGAGCACACGGATGTGTTAGTCTCCCGAGGCATCAGTGAGACAGCATCTCTGTTTTTCGTTTAGAACACTACCAGATACCTCCGAGGTCTCTTCGATGAAGGTGATATTCGTCTTGACGCCGAGTGGCCAGACAACGTGCAGCTGATCTTTGTTCAGCTGGAGCAAGAATACGATCAGAACGAACAACGCATTGAACATAAAAAACGCGAACACGCTCTTGTTCCGCAGCTCAATTAGGTCGGCGGCAATGCGAGTCTGTCGTGGACCAGGGAAGAAACAAAAGAAAAAGCACAGATTAGCAAAAATATGAAAAAAAATACGCTCCGTCCGGTCGAATCGTTGATCCATCGGCTCCTTTCGAGGGAGGATCCTCTCCGTGATCATTTAGGTCTTCAAGCGAACTCACATCCTCTAAAAAGCTTCTTAACAAGCGATAAGGAAAAATATAAAAATCGCTACTACGAGTATTTGCTGCAAAACAATTTGAATGCTCAACTTGAATCATCGTGTATAAATTTTGTATACTTCTAAATTACCTTCCTTTTTTACTTTTTCCTGCGGTTTTACGAAAATATTTTCTTCCATTATGATAATTATTATTATATATGACACTCCTTTCATTTGTGTTTTTGATTGATATATCATTAATTGCTTGAATCTAGTATTTTGGGTAAAGTGCTTTTAGCATTTGAAATGTTTTGCTACATCAAGCTAAACAAAGAATTAATAAGACGGCTATATGGCTCGTGGGATAGATCCTACTAATTATCTATATTATTTTTTCTTTTTTGTTTGCTGTTTTAGGGGAAAGGGGATGTGATTTAAGAAGCAGGACAACACGACGTGGACGGAGCGGTCTTTACCTCCTGGGAGTGATCATCATAGGTGATGTTGGTCTTGATACCAAAGGGCCACTTCACGTGCAACAAATCTTTGTTTAATTGCAGCAGAAAGACGATCAGGACGAAGAGGGCGTTCATCATGAAAAACGCGAAAACGCTCTGGTCACGTAGGTCCTTTAGATCTTTGGCGATTCGTGCCTGACGTAAGTAGCATGGATCGATTATTTATATTCTTTGATTATTGACAAATTTAAACAACCGTTATTTCGTACATACAATTATTAATCGTTTACTCTTTCAGTTCTTTCCAGTAAGATTTCTTTAGATTCTTTAGATTTTGTTGCAAACTATTTTTCATTTTTTTTATCTTAATCTAGCAAAGTTCCAAAATTTTTGAAAATCTTAGTAACGTTATTATATATACTATGTGAAATAACAATTAAAAATACTGTAAAAATAATCGATTAAGAAATTTTAAAAAATGTTGAAACAGTTATTTTCATTCTGTTATTTGATTCAAATATTTTACGGAATTTTTTAGTTTCATACTTCGCAATTTCTAAATAATATCTATCTTTTTTTAATCTATTTCGAATTCGTCGAATTTTACACGAGAGATACTGAAATAAATAAAATAGAATTAATAGTTCTACGATCGAGCAACATCCTCGACGCTAGTTATACATACTCAATTAACAAATAGTACTAAAAACTTGACTGACAACGATATATATACACAAATGATAAAATAACAAATTTTATAAATAATCTGTAAATTCTACGCACAATAAGTACTTCGGAAACCTTATTTTTATCCAAAACAATTACTCTAAACATTGAACAAAATTTTAGAATAAAAAGTTTTTCAAAATTACGAAAAATATAAATTTAACTCAAGTATAGAAGAAAGAAAAGATAGACAAAAATTCTTCTCAAATTTTAAGAAATTTTAAGAAATAAAAAAAGACAAAAACTACGAATAACTACAGCTTGATTAAAACTTCTTACCTTTTCTGCCTTGTCTTCGTCTATAGGATACAGATACTTCTCCAGGAGATCCTTCCAAAATAGTTCCTCCTGCAGCGACAGGACATCGATTTCACCTTTTTTAAGTCCTTCGTCGCTCAACCAGTAAGGTCTGCTTAGGAAGTTGTTAGCTTCGCGATTCCCTTCCGTATTCTGACTAGTCACCGTTTCAGCTTCACTATGACAATCCTGATCCTCTGCTGGATCTTCGCCAATGGCCCCTAAATGATCGGCTGTTCGAGAACCCACGGAGGATGCACGACGTCGACTTGTCACCCCATGAGGATCCACGGCTCTGATAAATGGATTTATATTAAATTCAAGTTGAATATAATCGTCGGTATTACTTCAAAGATCTCATTATTTAGAATTAGAGAAGCTTTGCTTTGTTAAAAGATACTTGCGGTTTGAGCTCTGAAATTTTCGATGCAGAAAACGCAAAAAGAAATGCATTTTGTACGACCTTTTATTGCGTCTAATTCAGCATCATGCTAGTGATATTATATTTAGTTTAGTATAATAGATTATATTTAACCGGTATAACCAGATAACAAGGATTATGTAAAATAAATCATAATAAGCCATAATCATAGATCATTCGAGAGGTCTCATTTGAAATTTCATTAAAAATTCATTTCAACTCGTCGTATAAATTGAAATTGATTGTTTAGTTTTGCATGTTAATAGATATGATGGAAATTTAATTACTACTGTTATGGTTATAGCAAGGCAATCAATAAAAAATAAAAGAATATTAACAGATTTGCAGAGCCTTGTGTTGAAATAATCGACCAAGTCAATAAACATTTGAATTTATAAAGCGTAGAGTAAAAGATATTTTTAGGATAATATAAAATCAAAAAACCTTTCGATAACTTCCAGGCGTTTGCTAACTTGCTCCAAAGATTCAGCAATAGCGACCAACTGCTGTTTCTCATTCGAGGTCTGTCCATGAGTGCAGAACATGCACTTGAACAATCCCGACAAAGAAATTTCTATCGATCCTTCTTCGTCGTCGTTCGAGCCTACGCCACTTTGAAGAAACCCTAACAGAGATTTCTGTTTCGCTTTCCGTTTTGCTTCCTCGGCTTCCTTTTTCTCTTGTTCAAGTTCCTACCGATTCAGCGAGAAATATGTAACATATTTTAATTTTGATCATATACATAAAAGGTAAGTACATAAATGCTATTATAGTAAATACTGTTTCTAAAGAAATATATGAGACAGTAGCAAACGTATTAAAAAATTATTAATTGCGTGCTATTAATTTATTAGTTGTGATTATCGTTATATCTACAAACGTAATATCAAATACTAAAAAGCATTACACCTTGAAACAAATTTTTCAGTCGAACGTTCATTGGAAATTCAAGTATTTTTCACTCATGTTGCTTCTCACTCCTGAATTATTAATATATGAATGGAAAGATTATTGAGAGAGACAGAGAGCTTGATATAAGTTCTGAAGAAGACAATGATTTATAGTATTATACGTCCGCGCAAATTAAAAAACATATGATTCAAATAAATCTTTTTAAAATTAAAAATTATTTTATTTTTCTAAGTAAAGGAAAGAAGCATTCACGTCATCCATTTGAAAAATCGAAGTCGATAAAATGTTTCGAACGTTGTACAAATTAAATTGTTTCCTCGCTGTTTCTATATAACTTCTTAAATAGTTTCTCGATGGGAACTGTTCTTGCAGAATCTAATTTTGTAATCCCACCTGAGCAATACTGAGCATCCACCCAATGTAGTGCATTTACATAGTTTAGTCGAATTAAGTGGATTTACTCGCTCAGTTTACTCTATTGCCGTATATATTTACGTAAAATACATAGGTCGAATAGTGAGATTTAGCCGTAATATAGATGTCAATCATACTGACATAGTGGCGGATTTGAATTTAATAATTTAATTCTTGTGATAGGAATCACTATTATGAGCCAATAATTTTCAAATGGATTGTGCTAAAGCTTGATAAGTTAGATGACTCCAACTGCTGTTTGCTTCAAGATGCATAATTATTAATGATACTTGATAAAATAACAGAAAAGAAGAACATGATTAAAATTAGAGTCGATTATTCAATTAAGACTGAGCTGATAGTTACCGCAGCAGTTTTCTTAGTCACCACCTCTCTCGTACCCCATGTGATGTTGTTCAGATTACAGATCGAATAAAAAATAAGCAACACGTACATCGATGGGACGGTGATGAAGTATATGATGCTGTATAGTAAGCAATACATTTCTTCGGGGTGCAATAGTGCGGTTATTATCATCTGAGATATTACTAAAAATAGGAACATCGCGGATGGCGACATTATCCCGTCCTGAACGATGTTAATCGCAGTCCCAACGATCACGGCGATCATCACCATGCCGTACAGCGTACTTATTATCGCCGCCACGAAAACCTGGCACACCGTTGTTATTATTAGCAGTTATCGATGCTCAGGCGTGTAAACCAATTTTTATTTGGTCTTGTATAAAATGGTGGTAATACGTTGAGGATACTGAATTAACCTTTCTGAATCTAATTCATACTAATCTTAGGCATAATAATTTTTTTACGCTATACGTTTGTACGTATACTATTTTTTTCGTTTATTATATATTACTACTAATAATTGATAAACGAATCTTTTTCCAACTGGCCAAGAAACATTCAGTTTTAGAAGTGTTAAATATCGAATTATTGAATTAAAATTCTCGTATCCTCAGCATAATGTCACTCTCAGTATCTGCGTCATTATAAACAAGTTAGAACGTACATATGCAGACAAAAAAAGCTTGCAGCTCGCGTGAAATTGTCCAAAAGCACTTGCCATCTTGATTTACCACCACCGTATGTTTCCTATGATGGTTTTACAGAATAATGGTAAATGTACAATCCCTCAAAATTGACAAACATGATCCAACCAAATACTGTCCAGTTAGTTAAACAAGGGGAAAAAAGAAAAGAGAAAGAGTCGGGTAAAGCCAATACAAAGGAACGAACCTTTTTGGTTTTTTTCACTTGGACCTCACGAGTTCCCCACGAGACGACGTTCAAGTTTATAATCGAGTAGAGGATCAAAAGAAGGTACATCGAGGGGATTGAAAGGAGGTATATTATACCAGGAACAATACACCAAAACTCTTGAGGATGTAAACAGGCGGCTATGAAAAAGGAGCTGGATAATGATATTAAGAATATCGCGGAAGGTGAACCGATACCATCCTCCCCAAGTTGGAGGGCCGTACCTACGATCACAGCCATCATTATCATCGCATATCCTGTCGACAATATCTGCGCGCACAGAAGCTGAAAGACAACAACACGAAAAAAAAAGAATTGCAAGAACAATCAAAGCGACAAGTATTTGAAGAACAGGTAAAAGGAACATGACAGATCACTTTATCGCTGATCTCTTAATCTCACCAAGATCACCAATAAAATATATTTACACGCGTTCTCATTTTTCAATGAAGTACTTGTTTATCCGATTCTATATATATTGTTTTCTTTTTGTAGTCTTCATGTTTAGTTTCTCTCCATCGATCGTTCGTAGTCATATGAAAGTATTACTAAATGATACGAAATTTGATATACTTGGACGTAATTAACTAGCATGCAAATGCTATAATAAATACCAAGGTGTACAAATGACATTTACAGCCATTGTACGTAATCTCATAATGAATTAAAGAGACAATTTTGGTAACGTTGAATTTTCAAATTGTTTATCATGTCCTTTTCCTGTGTTCTTCGTTTACGATAAGCACGTATAACAAGTATTAATTATAAGTGGATGTACCTGAATGCTCGCTTTACAAGTGAAACATACAAGCATGAAGAACAGAATAGGAATAATATTATAGTAGAAGCTGGTCCAATTATCGATCTTAAAGGCTGCGACGAAAGCACCGACCAACATGAGGAAAATCGTGCCTGGTCCTAAAATGGTTCCACCTGTAAGAAGGATTTAGACGATTTTTTAATTCATAATTGATAAATCTCAAAGCACGAAGAATGAAATTAATATAATGGGATTGTAGAAACTACATGGAAGTTTCAGTGCCGAGAAAGGCAATTAATTAATAGAAAAATAAAAGTAGAACGAGAGTTTGACTGACCCATGAGTAAGATTTGATAAGAGATGTAAGGAAGAGAAATGTTATCGTTGATTTTAATCGTTCGTTTTGCGTCCATCAGAAGATCCATGATATTGGCAATGGTAGATGGTACCCATCGACGCCGCTGATTGTAAAACTCGTTAAAACCTTCGGGTGCATGAGTGTAAGCATCGCTGGCTGCTGAATATTCTACCTGTAAGATTAAACGGTGAAGAATGTGAATAAGTGACATCATAGAATATTTCATCAAATATTGAATTTGAATAAAGACTTCGATCACTGTCCTCCTGTATAAATATAGTATCTAGATCAAGTAATAATAATTTCGGAAACTTTTCTGGATACTTACCCTGTACCCACGTTGCAAAAGAAGCGTACAAAGCCATCGATCCTCTCCTTGATCGTATTGAACGTAATGTCTAGCCTCGTCAGATCTCGTTGTGTACTTCTTCATCACGTTATCGTCCATCAAAGCTTTTCCTCTGAACAACGAGAAGCAACCAGGGCTACAAAGTACACAGCCGATCATATGCTCGGTTGCTTTTTGCAGCCAATGTCCGATAGCGTACTCGAACATCTGATACCAAACCATAGGACCTAATATCATAAAAAAAGTTGTACATAAAATTTTATTATTAAAATCTGTCACAGGTTGAAAGTTGTTTGACGAAGATTACCTGAACCGACTGGATGAATACGGCCACAGGCTGCGCCAAGATTTTTGTTCTTCTTCATCAAATCCACGAGCAGTTTCACAGCGGCTGGTTGAAAATCGATATCACCGTCAAGAGTTAATAAGTAAGTATTTTCTGCGATCACTTCCTTGCGATCTACGCTAATTGGCAATTCCATTAATCGATGTCCCAATAAATAATACATGTACATAACCTGGAACGCAAGTTTCGAAGTAATATTATTCAATGTTGTGAAAAATTTAAAAATATAAATGTATTTTGAACTACTACGAGTAATAAGTACGAACTACTATGGCTATGAGTATTCTGAATTACTATTGAGTACTGTGTATATTTTTAACCCTTTAAATTTGCAAATGCTGAAAAAATGCTGATTCTTTTACATCTATCTCAATGCGTCAAATTGACACAAGAGTCGGATTAAGGGTTGAAAATATTAACAAATCGTAAGATGCCAGATTGCTTTGTAATTATTAAAATTATCACTCGCTTCCTACTCCTTTTCAATACTACACGTTTCTAGAAATATTAATAGATTGTAAAATATCAGAATTACTGGAATTTCGCTCGTTTTAAAAGCTATGCATATTTGATATTATTAATGGATCTTCTACTATACAATTTTTTAGTCAAAAATTCTTGAAAAATATTAAATCTTCAAAGTTGTATGGGAATCTCAAAGCAAAGAGGTTCGTTTACAACTTCGTTCGACTTTAATTCCTACCTGGCTCCAACGTTTTCGGTGACGAATCTTGCTCTTGTCCTTCAAATGTGCGATCATCTTCGTTTTTCCAGGAAGAGTCCAGACTAATCGGCCACCGTAAGGCGTCGGATACTTCTTCGGTGCTCTGACGTGCATCCGTGTTTGATGAACGTCCGACGCTGCCTCATCCAGAGTGCCCACCAACAATTTTACGAATCTATTCACTTGCTGTTCGTTCTCATCGTGATCCGATAACTCGAACGCATCATCGAAAAAGATGTGAGCTGAAAGAATAAACAACGTCTCTCAACGTGCTTGAATGATCGAGATCTTGCAGACTACAATGCTAATTTACCAAACTACACCAGAAAGCGCATATGGATACCTACTTTCGAATTCATAGTAGTCCGGATCGACAACCTTCAAGTACTTTTGGGCTACACGTCTAGCACACTGATCTTCGTCCAAACGTAAGATACTTTTCAAAAATTCCATCATTTCCTCCTTGTTTTCATGCCACATAGTCGCGCAGGCGTATATTCTTGTTACGTGATCGCTGCTCTTTACAGCCGACGGAGGTGTAGTCGTGCCATCCGTCTGTTCGTATATGGTCTCATAATCTCCATCTCCCTTTTCTTTCTCTATCTCTGCCAGATCCTACCCGAAAATACAATTCTTATATTTTTATATAAACAACCGTGCCTTCGATAACAATCGAGCCAATCGAGCCTATAGAAAACTTTGTCTTGCTATGCGTGAAAAAGATATATATATATTTTTTTTAAATACAAGACTTACACTAGAAACTTTTAGCGAATTAATTTAATTCTGCACATTTCGTAACAGAAGCATCTCCTCATAATATTTCTGCGAACAACACAACACAAAATGTTGTTCAAAGCAGCATTATGATTCAAAACAACGAATAAAGTGAAATTGTCTATGTTAAGAGCGTCTGTGGAAATTTTCCTTTCTAAATAAAGTCGTACCGTGCAGCTTTATGTCGTTTGTACATGTAGCCCATAAGACAGAAAGTAAATTTCAAGACTGGAATCTTGTTTTAGCACTTAACATATTTTCTTGTTCGAAGAAAGAGATTTGGTGAATATGAAACTATCATTATGACTAATACTGTTATTACGATTAATATTTTTATTATGTGTGAATTTATTTGAATTCTATTTTTGTACGAATTTTATTTTTATTAAATAGATTTTCCTTATCAAATCTTTTTACGTCAATGTATCGTATCTATCTTTCTTAGTATTTTTTTAATTAAGAAACACTTGTTCGCGATAAAACTTGACAGTCGACCGATGAATAATAAGAAGACAGATCTCGTTTAGCGCGTTCTCTATTTTAAGGTGCCGAATATATCGGGTATTTATGCTTCTTCTCATTTTACAATTATAAAAATTGTTAAATTGTATTTATACCAGGATACTTTTACTCCGTTGACTTCGTTCTTATTTTTAACGAGACTAAAATGAAGCATTAATTTTAAAAGGGTTGAACATTCTTTTAAGGATTATGACGGACGAAAAACTGTTCCAGATAAAGGCAAAGTAAGGAGATAAAAGTATACTAGTTACTTAGTGGCTCTCTCTGTGAATGAAGAGACATTAAGCGTTGAGACAAGGGATTTCCTTTAAGAAATTAAACCCAATCAAGTATAGAATCTAATGGTGATGGAAACTCGCGAAAAGCACTGGAAATACTGTACACAAGATTTTTATGGTTTTCTATACACTCATTGCAAGTGCCAAAAAATCTTTTCATCCTTAATTATAGACAAGGGATTATATAAGATTTAAAATTAATTTTTTCAAGGAAAAATGCAGCTTTATAGTTAGTATTACCAGAGAAAGAATAATAGAAATAAGGAAATAATTACCGAGTTTTTCATTGAAAAAAAGTGTATAAGATAGAATGGCGGCGAGTAAAATTACGTTGGAAGTTTTAATTATGGCCTTTTAATACTTTAAAGAACTCTGTTTTCTTAAATCTGCATAAAAAATTCATAATCGCCTAACTGGGAACTACATTTAGTATCTGCTCAGGGCATACCTTTGTAAAAAATTAATATAAAGCTTTGCTTAAAGAAGACAAGCAAAAATTTTGCCATGACACTAGGCTTGAAATTGTTTTATAGTAAATTACCTCGACTTTCACTTCCGGTTGGTCGTCCCTCTTTCTGTTTAGACCCATCGATTGATCGATTAACAGAGAATTGTACATAGGAACGACGAACAGTTTCTCTGTGGCGGCGAGACGCTCGCATTTCGGTGTCCAAACGTGCAATGTAATCCAAGTTTGTGACAGCAACCACAACAACCATACCCAAGCATATTGCTTCGACACGAAATCATTGATGAAATGGGTTGGCGGTGACTCGTAGAACAGATAATCCGGAATCGTTCCTTGAAATATGCAAGGATCGGTGTTCCTCAGGCCACAAGCAGCAATTAATAAAGATATTGACACTGGAATTGTTAGATTTACCGGGAAAGCATAACTAAATCCTTGTATCAGAATTTTGCACGCGAATTTACCTGAAACAAGCGAAATACCATTCATTTTCTGTTCTCTTCTGATACTTTTTTTTGTAACACGTGACTAGGGAAAAACGTAATAAATTGTATTTTTCGTTTTTCCTTTTTTCAGGCGACCAATGTTTAAAAATCCAATAAGTGGATGTGTCAATTAAATCAAATTGGCAAAATTTATATCGGACTCTTTGTCCCATTTGTAAATTAAATATGTATTTTAACCACACAATGTTGAAGAATGTTTGGGAAATATTGACTGTCATAATGTCATATCCCATGTCATGATTTTGCTATAAAATTTTCTAATTTAAACAACTTGTCTTTAATAACAATTTTTTTTTAACAACATTAAACTTTGCCTTTGCCAACGTTGCCTTTGCCAAACTGTAAGTTTTATGAAGATCCATAGGCTAGATACATACCCTAGTTTGGTATTTAAAAAATTACTTAATCTAATTGAAGGTATAAATATAATAAAGGAAATACAAATACTTACCAAATATGTATGTGAAGTAAGCACCAAATATTTGCAGCAGTAGAACGTATATAGGGGTATCTACGCTTCCTGGTACAGGTACTGTGTCGCCAATATCCAGGATATCAGCGACATCGGTGATTTTATCAGTGGCTTCAGCCCGTTGCGTCCATGCCATAATGTCATGGCTTCCGAAAGCGTCACTCAGCATCGTGAACAAATGGCCAACTGTTTCGCCTTTGACGTGGAGTATCAGTAAGGTGCTAATAAAAAATGCCACGATCTTCCAAACCGAGATGAACATATAAGTGAAGTATCTCGTCAACCGCATTTCTTTCTTCACCCTCCCCAGAGCTCGAACAAATCCTACCGAGGAAGATTACAATTATCCTGAATATTGGAATATTTTCTTTTTATTATTGTAATATATAATTTATAATAATAAAGTATAATAATATTAAAAGTAAATATATTATTTGTAGTAATATTTGGATAGAATTAAGCAGGAAGAATTGATTCAGATCAATGACTCGATATCGATTATAAAAAAAATCGACAGTAAAAAAAAAGCTTCTTCCGAAAATTTCAATTTCATATTGAATACCTGAATAAATTGAATAAATTCTGCTTTTCTTTTACTCCCGATAACAGTTTCTTCTTAATGGTGTCTCATCGATATCGTAATACTTACCGATCGGACTCTGTATCGAAACATAATTTTCCCACCAGCCGCACGAAACCAGGAATAAAGATGGTGGTATGAGCCATAACGAGGGTCGAGAACTATCCAGCAAAGGCCAGAGGAAGAAACTTGTTCCTTGAGCAGCGAGCGCGGCAATATCTATCAGCACCAAAACAAATCTCTTCGACTCGTCTTTGTTCTTATTGCGAGAGAGCAGTCCTTGAACAATCGAAAGAAATCTTCGTCTTAATCCAGTACAAGTTCCCTCGTTATCGATAAATCGAACTTCGTGATGTCTTCTTTTAACGAAGAACTCTCGAAACTCTAGTAGGTTAGCCTCTTAAAATCCCAAGGGCTCATAAATAATTCTTAAAGCCCCGTAATACTATCAAATCGCCCAAAAATGTTGTAAAATAAAATTTCTATGTAAAATCACGATTATTTCTAGTATTAATTCAAATACATAATTCACCTTTCTCTTGCATCTTTCAGTCAAATCGACCTCGTTCCGCTAATTACATAACAAACATGCTGTTTTACCAGTTTCGACGTAAATAAGAGAAACGCGTTAAAAATTGAAGTTCAAAACATGTTGTGAAACATGGCGTATCTTACCTAGTAAACCAGGTACGAAGCACACGCAGTTCGTCAGCATCGCACCTTTAACCACGTCCAATTCAGGAAGTACTGCCATAAACATCAGAGCCAGACCGGTCACGTGGAATGTCTCCATGAGAAAGACAAGCAGGAAGTGAGAAGCCGGTGGTTTCTTCCACGATTTGAAAATACATATCCTAGTGCTGCGGATTAACGTGCCGAATTCTGGCACCGCGAACGCGATTATGATGCACCAGATCCACGCTATTCTCTCCTCTTCTGGTAACGTTACTGTCCATTGCCTGTCCCGGCCTGTAACAGAGAGGAAGAAATACGTCTTCTGAAATTGGATTCACGAAACAACAAATATGTTTTCAAAGCTTATCTGAAAAGAGAACAGGAAGAAGAAAGCCCGCTTTTTCATATTACATAAATTATCGGTATAACTGTTATCAGCATGCCTACAATTAGTTTTCTATCTAATAATAAGATTTAAAATAACATGAAAATCGTATCCTCTTTAGGTATTTTTTAATAAAAATGACATACTTTGACAGACATTGTTTCACAATTACATACTAATCATGCACTCGTTTCGATTCAAAAGAAAAATCGATATTCAATTTGTAAAGCAGGTTTACGCCAATGAAATATTAGCGAAAAGTGCAAAATGTCGCAACATAAAGAAGTACTTGTTATCGATGAATTAAAATTATTTTCTGTACTTTGAAGATTTAATACAAAAATATATCGAAAGCCTAGAAAAATCTGCACGTAATAATTGGGAAAGCGACAAATAACTACAAATAATGAAAATTGGAACAGTGATTAAGATTAATACAGTTCTTCTTTTTCGTTAAATATAATTTTCTAATACCACCCAAAAATGCTTATTTGGAAAAGCAAGTTTACAGCAGAGAGCCATTCTTTATCATCGAACAGTAAATGCGTTTGATCGGGAGCCAGCCAGAAAAGTGCACCTGTATTCGACAGATTTTCAAACTTGATTTTCACCAAAATAAAGCTTCGAAAAGAATAATTGTATTCTTTCTTTAATGGCTTATTTTTGCTTATATAATTACTCTCAGTTCTTTCGTGTCGTTCATTCCAGAATAATTCCTCGAATACCATGCTACGACAGCGAAATTTGCGTCAAAAGAAACCATCAACCACCGTATAGAAAAGCGACCAGGCCACTAGGTTCACAAGGTTTTTTTAATTAACTTTTATTATATAGAATCGAACGATTTTGTAGAAGGTAGCCTCGCGTATGTAATGCTTCAACCTGGTTTCACGTACTTTCTCTCCTTTGCTCGCACCGCGGTTATACATAGCGAAAAAATTCCGTTGTAACTATGTTGCGAGCACGATCCACTTTTTACGTTACTCCGCGACGGTTTCCATGAATGTTTTACCGTTCTGAAACTCAAGAAGTGCGATTTGGATTTTGCATCAGTGACGCGTTTTATATATTTTTTCGTATTATGTACATTTTGTGTATTTTCGTATCTTCAAATTTTGCCATAAATACGTAAAAATCTTATTACTTATTCAAACGTTGCTAATATTGAAAAATTATAATTAAAATTTCTAACGCGATTTCATCGATTCGTTATTTTACCTTACGAAGCTTTATTCCAGCAAGCTTTTCGATTATCTCCCAAGTCATTCATTTTAAATTCTTCGTCGTTTTATTACACTGTCAAACGGTTAAAATTAACGTGTTACATTTTACATAAAAAGAACAAATAAGAATTAAGCTCATAAACGTCTCCAAGGTATATCCTGCGGGCACTTAATTTCACGTTGTGCCCCACTATAGTATCCTTACAGACCCACAAAGTGGATTAGCGTATAATCCTATAAAGCGGTCATTTCGCAAACGTTAATTGGCTTATCAAATATAAGAAAGGAAAATCGCGTAATAATGAACCGCAGATAACGTATTGTTATTGTACTACGAATCTGGATTACATGCATCGAACGGATTACGTGTTGCATCAAGCACCGAATTCAACATAGGCGTAATTTGTAGAAAATTCACTACACAAACGCGCTATAGTTTGCAAAGCGGTCATCGAGCGTTCGATTCCCATGGAAATACGAATGAGAATTTGAACGTATGAACGGTACATTTTATAGTACTATTATTTTAATTCCATTTATTGCACGAATAAATATATAGAAATACGAGAAAAGGAGCTTCGATGCTTGCTTTGATTTTAAAACTATAATCATAGTTCATATAATTCATAGTGTAGATTTTAGTTTTATTAGTTTTGTGTTGGGTTAATAGCTTTATATATTAAATTACTTTATTGCGTTATTTTCATTGGACCGATATTACTGGACAGAGGATATGCTAGATAGTTCTGTGACCAAAGTAAAAATGAAAGTGAAATCAAGAAAATAAAAAAACGACAGTGAATATCGATTTTACTAGAAAGAATATTTAAGCAATAATTTATGTCATTAGTCTAACGTAACAATGTAAAGGTTTTAAGAATAGAATAAAGTCAATCAAGATACGAATAGTATCGAATTGCCCAGAGCTACAAGAGGCGTCAAAAGTCCTAAGATTAATTAATAATATCCGATGATAGCGATGATATGTACGGGAGTTTGACTATCACTCACCTAATTTCTTGTTGCAGTAAGCGATTGTTCGATTAGCTCTTAACTGCGACGTCATAAATAGAATTGTTCCTTTGGCTACTACGCCGCTTCCTAATACTATCACAAATACTAGTAGGTAGACGATCACCTTCGTGATCTGTACCGTCATCTCGAGGCATCTTTGATTCGCCATCGAACCGGAATCGATCTTTGGCGGTGGATTCCGGAACACGTCCCATCCTTTCGTTTCCACGACAGTTCTTTGACTAGAAAACGAAACAAACAGACGTAATTAAATTATACAGCTACACTCGAGTTCTTAATTAAAACAGATGGAGCCGATACGTTAATTCTGACTGTCTTCTCAATAAAATTTTCGTACGCAGTTTCGTATTGTTATTAACATAACTAACTTTTCACCTTCAAATTTCCCATAAACGCATAAAAATTCGTGATTTAGTTATTCCAATTATACAGTGACAGTTTTAAACTTTAATTAAAAAAGTCGGCTGGATTTCATATAAATATCCATTAAAAGAAAATTAAATCGAGGCAATAACTGCGATTTTTTTCGAAAAACGAGATGGCTCGACTGACGCAAAGAACAAAAGCAAATCTCGTTTGCTTTTTTCCCCTCTCCGTTTAAAAATAAAACGAGCGACGTTTGCGAATACCATAGCTGCTTGGTTAAGGACACATTTGCCACATACCTGTCGCCATAGTCCTGAGTCAATGGAGTACTCTCACCATCCGAAAAATCGTCAGTGTCAGCGACCGGTCCTCCGCCTCCTATCATTCCATTCTGTTGCTGACTTTTTGACATTCTGTAAAAAAACGTTTCTTTTACCAAAATGTTTTTTAAAAGAAACAAAGAATGGCGATATAACTTTGCTTAAGTAGCAGCTGTAACTTTGCAAGTTAAATAATTATGATCAACGAATTTTAAGTTTTAGAATGTCGACATCTTATAAATAGATTCTCAACTATTTCGTAAATGCCAAACCACTGAAATTACAATTCAAAAATTTCAATACCACCAACTAAAAATATATTTTATTTCTTATATGCAAATAACAATTCAAGATGGAAATTTAGCGGAACGTAATACACAAATTATCCATCATTGTAGAGCAAAATTATAAAACCAAAGATATACGATTTGAGGTATACGTAATTGAAAGCTATTGATTTTAATTATCGCGTTACAAGACGCTACGAAGCAAAAACTTTGTCCTAACGAAGATATTAAATATATGATTTCATAACATATTTTTATTTTAAAAAGAAAAGATAGATTTGAAGCATTATTTAATCTGTCATCCAGTGTTATTTGTCGTTTAGAGAAAGTAGAGATATAATTTATGATCATTCGTCTGGTCAGTTGAAGTTCTAAGCTAACGTAACTTCGGTATCTTGAACGTCTCCGCCTCTATGAATAATTTCACATGAAGCGTGAACCGCTGAATTGTTTCGAATAATAACAAGTGAACCAGGAAGCGCGAACTGTACATCAAAAATTGGTTTCTGCATGTTAGAAAGCTTAACCATTTCAGAACAAATGTTTACCGATTATATCGAACAGCTGAACAAACTGTTACATCCTACTTTTTGAACCGCATGACTTAATATTTTGATCGTAAGAAAATATTCGGGATATTATTCATCGCACGATATTACTACTAATTAAAAAACAAGCGAATACACCGACGGCCCTATTTCCTAGATTTCGCAACGATCGTCTTGCTTCATTCTTTAGACTCTAGTAGAAACTCGATAAGATTATCAAAGACAAAATATAACACCTTTTATAAATATATTATACGTATTGTACGAGATTACATTATATTGATAGTGTTTGAAGTAATTCTGAAAATATATATCGAAAAGAAGCTTATAAAGAAGAGGAAAGATAAAGAAAGCTAGCATGTAGAACACGCGTATTAAAGAAGAAAGTTGGTCGATGAAAAGGAACCTCGCCGCTGTAAGCACCACATAATGATTGGAAAATGGAAAAAGTAGGAATTGTCGGTGAAACGAGACGAATTGTCGCAGTATTCTGTAGTTTATCGACGTATAAATTCACCGATCAAATATCAAATATTATTGAAATAAAAATGGGCGAAGAAATAAACGGTGTGTAACGGATCAGTAGGTAACCGACTTTCTTTACTTCCCGTCATGTTTTATGAGTTTTATTCTACATACCGATTCTACTATAACTGCGTTTTTTGCGAGAAAAATCGCTCTGTATGAACTGTATGCACGAGCACGTTCGCGAAAGGGTCTCCTCGTTGAACTAATTAGTGATTCATCGAAAGCGGAATAAGAAGTTGCTGGTTTCTGCAACTATCCGCTTTATTACTTCGATGGAATGTGTATCACTCATACGTTGTCTGCTAGTTATTAAGTAGTTACGTATACCATAAAAAGACAGGCGATTGAACTCTTGCAAAGATGTACTAATTTCGATTTTCCTGGTCTTATAACGTATATTTCTATCGAAAGGACCAATTTCCAATTTTTTATCGAATCTTACGGATTTAAAACGATGAATTTTTGGATTAAATATATGGGTCAAGGTTGGCTTTCCTTCTCGCGTTCTCTTCGATACAAGCGGTATTGGTCGCTAGTTCTAGCGTTCAATGAACGAATGAAAAGACTTTTATTAACAGAAAAGAAAGTATTTTTCACAGGATTCCTAGAGATTCAGATTGACGTAAGGAAAATCTAATACAGTACGTAACAGTTAAGAGTTAACATAATATTTCTTATAACATCTTTTCTGCTTGTTAATGACAATCTCCTATATCTTCTTCAAAGTTGAAACGAAATCTCTCAACGAACGATAAAATACGATTTTATCGAACACGACCCAAGTGGGTACGATCGTCGTAGGATCATAAACGTTGGCCGATCAACAAAGATCATATTCACACTCGATTCATTGCACCAAACAGAAACACTATTCTTTCTGCATTCTGGGTTCCGCCGTCATCGAGATATCGCCTGACATATGTTACGAAACTCTCGAAGAATCATGGAAAATCGGTGGTCCTGTCACACGTCGTTTGCCAAGTGTACCTTACCTGGTACCGTTTCCTCGAGATCTAATTATCGGTTTTGCCAAAAGAGGCAACTGCTATTAAGTGGCGAAATAGGGCAGAATAAAGAAAAGAAGGTAGGTAGAACGTCGGAGGCGGAGTAGAACGAGATCTGGCTCGTGCTCCTCGCGATCGTTCGTGGCGCGTTTCAATCTCACACGGACAACGCGAAGGCGGAGGCGTATCTTTGTTCGTGGAGGTCTGGGCTTTCTGGTTCCTGGACACTGAAAGTGAAAGGGAACGAACCGTGAAAGATAACATAGCAAGGACGTCCACTGCAACTCGCCGTGTCGGTTGCTGCCCTCGAGGCACGTCACGGATTCGTTCGTTCCTCGGTTTCACCCCCTCGACGCCGCTCACCAGGCTCCACGTATCTTCTGTTCACCGACTCGACGTTCTTTTCTACCTCACCCTCCTTTGTTCCCTGGTTTGTTTCTCGCGGTTCTTGATTCAGGGATGTCGATCGATGTTCGATCAACAACTCGATCGGTTGTTATTGAAGTTCGAAGAAAAGTTACATATGTTAAAGGAGATTCGTCTTGTTCTGATCAGACAAGGATTTGAAATTATAATGGCAATACGATATGATCGGGTTTTCAAAGTTTTTTGTAAGTTGCTACGGTGCTTTCGTCAGTCTTCGACATTACCTGAGCTCCTTTTTATGCTGGTTTTATTCTATTCTGGCTCTCGTGGAAGGTCATTTTTGTGGCTTCGACGAGGCCTCTACTCGCTATGGAATTTTGAATATTTCGTGCTCTATTCGGAATAATTAAACGATTCAGGTTTTATATTGTTCGCGATAGAGAATGAAATGTTAAAGTTCAAAAAGTGTCATTAAAAATGTGATTTTTTTCTTTTTTTTTTCTTTCTTTGTTAATACTATCATACTCTATAATTCTACAGTGGTGAGAGTAAAGTAGCCAATAGCAAAGTATTAAAGAAGAAAATATTAAATACGAAATTTAATATACTTGAATCTAATTGATTAGTATATAACTGCCATCATAAATACAACCGTGTGCTAAATCTTTTTGTAGTCACTAAATTACAGTAGAACGATTGTAATCTTAGAAACATTTATCAAACATAGAAACAATAAATAATTAGTCACGCAAATTCCCTTTTGCTACTAGAAATCTCAAATTTCCTATTTAGCTAACACCGATGATCAATCATGCTTATTACTAACAACGTAATCATGTAATATATAAATAATAGGGACTCGTTGCGTCCAATCCCGAAGAATCGCTTCTAATTTATCATTTGACTAACAATCCACCGTTTAACCGATGCTCGTCTTTCTAACCGTCTTCTTCTACTTTCTTGCCTAAGTAATCTCAGCAGTAACCGCTGATCGTTGATTAATCTTCATCGCGAATGAAACAATTACGCCTCGGTTAATACTGAATTCGCGTGCTTGAATAACCGAATCGTTACACAACGAATAAAATAGAACGATTCTACGTCCTCTATAGAAAATAGAAATTACTTTACAGAAAATAGAGCTTCAGTCTGAAGATTTCCACCGAGGCTTCATCCACCAGCAGTTCAATATCGAAGGCAAGAGTTCCTCGAGTATATCAGATATTTTTCTATTACTATACTGTATACTAAAATTACATCTTTTAATAACTTGACATTCTCGAACATTCTCAATAAAAATTCTATTTCGTAGGTATATTTAATTTTAAAAATTATTATAGAATTTTTAAATAGGAAGAATCTTCGTTTGGCAATAAAACAAGATACAGAAGATTTTCTATAACATCGATATCACGTTGTCGTTCTATCATCTAACTGCTATAATACGTCATTGTTCGAGAAGCCTGAAAATTTGACACGGATCATCTTTGTTACGTACAGATCCCTCAATTTTGAGCGCAACAATTTTACGAGACAAAGAATCTATCAAAAATACGAAGCAAGTCGGACGTTAAAAATAAAAACTTCGAAATACCCAATCGAAGTTAACAGTTTCCTTATGTTCGCAAAATGTGTCTTCGATTCGATATCGAAGAAATCGTGTTTGAACCAACGAGATGTTGGTCTCGCGGGAAACATGAAAAAATACGATGGAATGTCTGCGTGAAGCTTATCAGGCTTCGTATATAGTCTATTCTTCTTGTATTTTATTCCGATCATAAGTTATGCTCGCATGCATAAACGTCAAGCGAGCACGACCATAGAAACATCGTGAGGTTATGCACGGTTATAGCGCGTGTCTCTACTCCCTAGACTACCACTTTTCGTCGTCGTAAGGCCGTTGTCCTATGAGTCATTGTCCACCATGGAATTGTTCGCCTTCCCCTCGATGCTTTAACCCTTGTCGCGGTCCAGCCAACCTCGCTTGGCTCTCGCGACCACTTGTCCCTGCATTTAACGTGGAATTCAACAAACGTGTATACCGTATACCTACGATTACTTTTATATGCGCGAACTTTCCGTTTTCTCGACTGTTAACTTCGAATGCTATCCAGTCACGGTATTTCCTTTTTTGGATCGTACATGTGTGTGCATTGCGTAGAAGGGAACGTTATGGAAGCGTACAAGGAGTACGGATATGATTGCGGTAGTAGTGGTAAATGGAAGTTGAGTTAATATGATCTTTAACGGGTACTAGAATTACCATCAAAATTAGCGATTTGTGATTTTTGTTTAATTTATTTTACCACTTAGTTTGTCTATTTTTTAGTTTTAAGTCATATTTAGTTTTATTTCGTAGA